CCTACCTCCTTTTCTCCTCCTCCCTCCCTCCCTCCCTCCCTTGGGGAGTTTACACTAGCTGTTCCTTCTGTTTTCAGCATTGCTTATTCCCCTTTCCTTGTCTTTATTTAAATACCACCTTTGTATTGAGACTTTCTTGATTATCCTATTTCAAATTTCTACACCATCACCACCTTAGCAATTTCTATCCCTTTTCTAACTTTTCTGTTGCACTAAATCACTTTTTAATATTGTAAATGATATCCCTATTTATTTGTCTTCTCATGAGAGTATCAGGTCTACAAGGATTTTTTATCTACTTGATCCCTTCTCTATCCCCAATACCAAGAACAGTGCTTGGCACATAGGATGTGCTTAATACAGATTTGTGATTAATAGCCATAGAATTGTGTTAGGACCACAAAGATGAATGAAATAATGGAACTAGTCATTTCACAATAGTTTTACCCTCTAGTTACCACAAATTTAACTTGTGAAGTGGAAATTAAAATATTCCCACCTATTTTAGAACATATATCACAAGGCTGAATAAAGTTAAAAATTGTTAATTTTACCAGTGAGTTCTCGAACAGGAGTGTTTCACCCTACAAGGGACATTTAGTAATTTCTGGAGACATTTTTGTTTGTCACAACAAGGGGGATATGGTGTTATCATCTTCTGGTATATAGAGACCAAGGTTGCTGCTAAGCATCCTACAATACACAGGACAGCACCTTCAACCTAGAATTATCTGATCCGAAATGTCAGCATTTCAGATAGAAAAGCTGGGCTATACATGAAATTGTGTGTGTGTGTGGGGGGGGGGGGGGGGGGGTGTGAGCCTGTTTTTTGAGCACTTTGAACTTTTCTCAAGACCATTACAAGTTGCTGTTATTTCCAGAAGTCTGTTGTCTTTTCATTTCCAACTCTCTCTGTTTTTGAAAAGCAGTTCAATATAATGTGATCATTTTGTTTTCACATTGCTTGGCTTATAATTGGTAATCAATGAGTCATATTGTCATATGAGCAATCAGTAGGTCTGTTTGTCATAGAGCTTGAGGGGTTTATTGGCTTCCCAGCTTTCTCATTTAATACATTCCTCAAGGTATGTGCTAAGCATTGCTTCTGTCCACTCTGCTTGGAAATATCCCATTTCTCCCACCAACTATCCTGCTGCTATTGCACCAAAAATAAACTCCATACTTGTTACCATGAACTGCAAGCCCTTCTGTCATTCCTTCTTAAGTCTGTCCTCGACCATGCATACCACTCCATGTCACTCACTGCTCCCCAGCCATTATGGCTTATCTATTGCTTTCACAACCAAGCCCATTCCTGCATTAGGTTATTTGCATTTGCTGGGCACTCTCCTTTGAATGTTTTTCTGCCATATTATTTTATGGTTGGCTCTTCCTCGTCATCATTTGAGTCTCAACCCAAATGTCTCTTCAGAAAGGCCATCTCTGATCTCCCAATCCAAAGAAGCTAAGCCTCTTCTCCCCCCACCCCACCCCCATCCATTACTCTATTAAAGTGCCCGGTTTTATTTTCATCAATGCAATTATTGCTATCTGTAAATTTCTTTTCTTTTTCTTCTCTCTTTCCTTCTTTTCTCCCTCCCGGCATTCTTTCTCCAACTAGAATGTAAGATCCATGAGGGCAGAGGTTTGTCCTCTTCACCATGCCTTCCCAGCACCTAGAACTGTGCCTGCTAAATATTTATTAAATGAAAGAATTATTTCTTCTCATGTGCTGTGTACCTAGAGAAGTAGAGCTACTTTAAGACTGAGTCAGGTGCCAAGACCTTCATTGTTGATTATCTCTCGTTAAGATTGTTAAGTCTGGCCCTAGCTGGTTTGGCTCAGTGGATAGAGCATCAGCCTGTGGATCAGATGGTCCTTGATTTGATTCCCCTCAAGGGCATGTACCTCGGTTTTAGGCTCCTTCCCAGCCCGGGCTCTGGTCAGGGCGAGTGCAGGAGGCAACCAATCGATGTATTTCTCTCACAACCATATTTCTGTCTTTCCCTTTTCCACTCTTCCTAAAAATCAATTAAAAAATATCCTCATTTGAGGATTAAAAATAAAAAGATTGTTAAGTCTAGTTTTGAACTGCACAGTCCATTATTTGAGCTTTTTCCTGAAAAATAAACCAGATAGACAGTTGGCTGCGCAGCTGGGCTGCTGACTTCTCAGCGGTCTGAGGAGTTGGCTGTGGGCTAGCCAGACTCCTGGCCACGATGCGGAAGACAGTGGCCACCCTGAAGCTTTCATCTTTCCACGGCTCCGCTCGGTACAGAAGAATGTGGGAGACCACGTCATCTTGATGGGGAGAGTGGCTGTTATCAGAAACCTATACATCCTGGAAATCTACAACATCAACACCCAGGGAACAGCTGCAAACCCAGGAACATCAGATCTCTAGCAG